ATTTGCAAAACGTAAGAAATAGAGGGAGAAAGATTTCTCGTATACCACAATCATCATTTAATTAACTAGTTTATCTTAATTATTAGTTTATTAAATAATAAACTAATTTTAAAAATCTGATTAATTCAAATAATGTGACTGTCCACATCAAATAATATTAAAATGTAATACAAAAACAGTAATAACATAACTATTTATTTATTATTTTGTGTGTGATGATCCTCTCTCTCTCTCCGCGTCTTGTTCGCTGCGGTGCTCAATCATCTGTCCGTGGTTGGAGCAATTCCAAAGTAAGGGAAGAGCCTCCTTCTTTTAATCCAACGGCGACACAAACCCAAGTGAGATTGCTTCTCCATTTCTGATCCTCCATTGCCGATTGCTGCTCTCTCTCTCTCTCTCTCTCTCTCTCTCTCCCTCCCATTTTTCATCCGTTTGGTATCCGCGAGTTTGTTTCTGTTATTAAATATGTGGATTATAGGGTCATCAAGAAACCTTGCTCAACGATTGAAACCCAATTGTCTCGGCCTTGAGTTTTGTTGGGTACAACGTAAGATGGATAAACAAAATACATACATAGATATTGTACTATTTTAAACCTACTCGGAATCTACTCGTTTTAGTGCTGATAAAGATTCAACCTTTTGTTGTTGTGGTTGTTTTTCTGCCTGCATTTTTCTCACTCCAAATACCTTTTGTTTTTGTTTGTTTGCTTCACTACGGTTCTATATGCTGCTATTTATGCTGCAGATCCTGTTCTCCACGGTCTAACAGAAGAAGGATGACTGATATGATGTTTTTATGTTGCAGGGAAGTTAATCACTTGTTAGGCCTTCTATCTATTATTTCCAAGAGGGAGGGCTGCCTGGCTGGTAAAATTGATGGAGGGTTCGATCAGGTGCTCTGCCAACTACATCCCTCTTTCTCCGGTCAGCTTCTTGGAGCGCTCCGCCATAGTCTACAGAGACAGGCCATCTGTTGTGTATGGAAACATCGTCTACACTTGGAGACAGACACTTGAACGATGCACCAGACTCGCTTCTGCTCTTGCCCAGCTCGGAGTTTCTTACGGAGATGTGGTAAGAAACCAACTCCATGTCTTGGGTTATGTAACACTCTCATTTTGTACAACCCTTTGCTTTTTGTGGCGTCCCAGATTTTTGTGGCTTCGGTGCTGTGGTTAGTTTCTTGTTTGCCTCTTTGCTTTTGTTTCCTCAATCTGTTTCTTATGTCACAATGTTTAATCAACATAGCTAGGGAGGAGAGGGTGGTTGTGAACTTGTGATTACTTTAAGTCCTGTGGTTTTTGCATCGTTTGTGTTCAGGCTGCTTTGAACACCTTTGTAGCTCAAGTATATGAATTATAAAGTTTCTTCTTTTATGACCTGAGCACACTTGAATTTTTTGTTCATTTACTAAGAAAGTTATCCATGCTAATAAGGTCATGCTTCTATATCTCATCACTTTCGTTCTCGGCAACGAATGAATATCATGCCCACAGTGCAACATTTTTTCTCCCTGATTTGTCGTTTCTGATTTCTTTTTCAATTTCTCGCTCTCCCCTTCTTATATGGCTTGAGATAAATCCTTAAAAGTGTTGACATTAAATTGTGATGACCAGTTCTACCTGTGCCTGCAATAAGCTTTTGCTCTTTCGGACAGGTTGCTGCATTGGCTCCAAATATTCCTGCAATGTATGAGCTCCATTTTGGTGTTCCAATGGCAGGGGCAGTTCTCTGTACACTTAATATACGCCATGATTCACAAATGGTGTCAGTGTTACTAAAACATTCAGATGCCAAAATCATTTTTGTAGACTGCCAATTGTTTCATGTTGCTAAAGGAGCAATTGATATTCTATCCAAGACTAGGACCAAGCTGCCCGTTTTAGTCTTAATCCCAGAGAGTGATCAATCATCCCCTGACTTCTGTAATCCCACTTCCGGGAACTTGGAATATGAGAGCCTGTTAGGACGTGGAAAATTTGATTTTGAGATCCGACGACCAAAAGATGAATGGGATCCAATTTCACTCAACTACACTTCAGGCACTACATCGAGCCCAAAAGGCGTCATTTATAGTCACAGAGGTGCCTATCTTAATTCTTTCGCAGCAGCTCTACTTAATGAGATGAGCTCATTGCCTGTATATTTATGGTGTGTTCCCATGTTTCATTGCAACGGATGGTGCCTCACTTGGGCTGTGGCTGCTCAGGGTGGTACTAATATCTGCCAAAGGAATGTTACTGCAAAGGGCATTTTTAGCCGTATTTCTCAGCACAAGGTAACCCACATGGGTGGTGCACCAACAATTTTAAACATGATTGTAAATGCTCCAGTACATGAGCGGAGACCACTTCCAGGTAAGGTAATAGTCATGACTGGGGGTGCACCGCCACCAGCCCACGTACTCTTCAAGATGGAAGAGCTAGGGTTCAGTGTAACCCATTCATATGGTTTGACAGAAACTTATGGACCTGGTACAGTTTGTGCTTGGAAACCTGAATGGGACTCCCTGCCTCGAGATGAACAGGCAAAGATCAAGTCCCGGCAGGGATTGCAACATCTTGGCATGGAGGAGGTTGACGTTAAAGATCCTGTCACCATGAAGACTGTACCATCTGATGCAAAAACCATGGGGGAGGTTATGTTCAGAGGTAACACTGTAATGAATGGATATTTGAAAGATCATCAAGCAACAACAGATGCATTTAAAGGGGGATGGTTTCGTAGTGGTGACTTGGGTGTGAAACACCCGGATGGTTACATAGAGCTAAAGGATCGTTTAAAGGACATTATCATTTCTGGGGGTGAAAATATTAGCACAATTGAGGTTGAATCAGTGCTTTTCAGCCACCCGGACATTCTCGAGGCAGCAATTGTGGGAAGGCCTGATGATTATTGGGGGGAGACGCCCTGCGCATTTGTGAAGTTGAAGGATGGTTGTAATACTGACACAGAGGAGATTATTAAGTTTTGTAGGAATCGGTTGCCCCACTATATGGCTCCTCGGACTGTTGTTTTCGCAGATCTGCCAAAGACTTCGACTGGGAAGGTAGCAGAAGTATGTACTGAGAGAGAGGGCAAAGTCCATGGGAAGTCTCTCCAAGAACAGCATCAGCAAACTGTAAAAATTCCCTTATTGCTCCTTTGAGTTCTGCTTTGTATTATTGTCAATTTCCCTTTGTTTTGCTTCTCTATTGACACTTACATCCTGTGACACTTGCATCTTCTTCTCCATGAGTTGATTCCCAAGGACTGCCGTCGGATCCATGCTGGATCTATGCAGCTAAGAGGAATGATTAGTTTACCAACTACTTGGCCGATGTCGATGTGCGTCACCTTCCGCGTACGTAAATACTATAGAATATCATCAATATCTTAAAGGAGACATGAAACCAAAAGCGCAATGCTTGTACAAATTGTAAAACAATTATTTGAGATTCTCAGTAAAGAGCAATCGTTTTAGATTTGTAATTACAAAATACAGTTACAACATTTCTATGTAAAACTAACGCAGAATGCGTCGGAAATTTGACGAAATAAAATACGATATATAATATATGGTTCTAATTCTCATTGCATTGATATTTTCTATGCTAATACCTTACACGATGTGTTGTAGATGAGAAGGTCTAAGTTGGATACCATACTAATGTGACGATAACTCACTAATATGATGTTATGAAATCTTAACATGGTATTAGAATAATTTACTGACATGACCCAATTAAGGAAGAAGGAGATGCCACTAGACAAAACAATCATGGACAACTCTTTTCTATCCCTTTTAATCAATGGTTAGGTTGTGAAATTGATTCAATACAATGATTACATTATCAAACATGTTATAATCATTAAATACTTTGATGAATGGGCATTGCAACTGTCACACCTTCTCGATCGGCCTTTTTCATGGATATAATGTCATCTATTATTGTTTGGCTGCATTTGTTGTATGTCTCTCTCAAGATAGACATCAAAATCATAGCGTTCTCTTATCCTTGTTCAGTTCAAAATCAAATATTCTTTTAATTAGTTCCTTGTCTTATGTTGTGTTTTGATTTAGAGGGAGAAATTAAAAGTAGATGATAAGTTCAATATCAAATTAATATGAGACATTACCCTAATCTTCAATTCTTCTAGTATAAATTAAATACTCTATAGCATTTGATAATCAACTCCCATGAGGTGTACATACCTCCTCTTTGTTTTTTTAAGTGAGTAATGCTGGTGTTTAGGAAGTTGTACTTAGCTATATTGTGTAGTCAAGTGCCTTATTTGCATGTAACCTATGCTTATATAAATTAATAACATTTTCAAGAAAAAGAAATTTTTTAATCAATAATGTTCTTACCTTTTGTATATTTAAAAGTAATAAAAAAAATGTTTTCATAAAAAAAGTAGGAAAAAGAAATTAAGTGATTACCTTTCCAGTTAAAAGAAAAAGGCAAAATAATGATTTAGAGGTACACGATTGATTACATTTCATACTTTTTGTTTAAGATAGAGTTTTAAAATAGTTCACCAGATTCTAACATTTTCACATAACACCATAATCACTCTAAAATTTTGAAGTTATTAAAATCATGTCAATGTGAATATAGTGCAAATACTGCTCATACGTTATCACATAAAAATGATAGACTCACTATATCATCAATTTGACAAAAGATCAAACAATCAATTCAATATTCATTTTCTATTTTTGAAGAGAAGCACAAAAAGCTTTTACAAGAACTAGAATACCCATTTTTATACAATGGGAAGGATGAAGATCCTTTTCAGTTCTTTTTTTGTATTAGGATATTCACATTTATATCCGTTCATTGTACATCGTGTAACTAACTTTTATTATATACCATTTGTATTTAATTTTAAATAGAAAATAGAAAATAATTCTAATCATCCAACATATAATAAATGAATATGATAAGAGGTTTTAGAAATCCTTACAAAAAGGATCCAATGGAATCCAACTCCAGGGAGGACAAAAAGAACATTATGGTAAAACTTAAAACTGTTTTATATTATATGACGGGTAACAAGTGTACAACTCTGTCTCATATTGTTTGACGAACAGTTGAAGTTTCATTGAAATCCAGACAGAGAGAAGCTTCCTTAACAACCCAACCTCTCAGTTCAAAGACTCCAAATTTTTCTTCAACTTCCTTCCCTTCCCTGTATTCGAGCAATTCTTTATAGGACCTCTCACTCGAAGCGCCATATTTTATTGCGCATCAGAATTTCTTAGTACCCAAATAATCGCTTTCTGCTTCTGTTGGATTCTTTGCTCTCGGCTTAAAATCAGTCGGAAAAGCACTTTTCTTCAGTTTTGGAATTGCTTTTGAACTTCAAGGGCGGTTTAAACTTTCGCCCACCAAATGGTCTACGCTTTGACTTGCTGGTAGTGGTGGTTCCTGTCTTTTGGTCAAAATACAGTTAGCATTCGAGCATGTCCATGATCTGCGTGTAGAACAGCTAAATTTCGATAATTTCGACTTTTGGGCTTTGTTCCTGAAGCGGTTTGAACTTGTGGGTTGTTTTTTTTCTTTTGCTTTTTTTTTTTTTTAGCGATTCTCTGTCTTGTGTTGTGAGGTTCTGGATATTGGGAGTGTTTTTGAAGGGTTTGAGGTTTTTTGTTTTAGTGGGGTTTTGTTTTTGTTTATGTTTCTGACATCCTGAAATTCGATTTTCGGTACAGTTAATAATTCGATACTGGGAACTGAGTTGTAAGTTCTTGGAGTTGGGGTTAGTTGGTGGTTTCAGTTCATGGTTTGTGTTCAGATTCATGCTGTAGTAAATCTAGGATTGTAGATATGAGGAGCCGAAATTAAGGTTGCCGGAGTTGGGGTTTGGTCAGTTTCTGTTGTGCATCCCCGTGCACTAGGGAAAATGGGAAGCAATGGGGTTGACCATCCATTGAAACATTTGGAAGAGGAAGGCGGTAGCAGCCAAGGACAGAGTAAGGATTTTCTGTTAAGTTGTCGAATTTATGATTCGGTGGAAATGGATAACAAGTATTCAAATGAACGATTGGTTGCAGGTTCCTTTCAGCAGGAGAGGAATCGGAAGACAAATTCTTCACGGCCTTCTTCGGTTTTAGAGATTTTTCAGGCAAAAGAGTTCAATGTTGGTTCTTCACCTCAGACAAGTTAGTGCCCCCACGTATCCCGAGTTATAGTTGTTTTTGTTATCTGTAATGCATTGAGGGACAAAAAATGAAGCTTTTCCTTGACAAGAGACCAGGTTCTCTATTAACACCAATGAACTAAAATGTGTTAAGCTTTATTGCCTATACAATGCGGAAAGGAGCTTCCCGTCTTAGCTTAAAATTCAAGAGTATATTGCCAGGATGGTAGTTGTGCCCTTTAGTAATCAGTCATTACTTAGTGAAGTCACTAAGGTGTAAATAAGTCATGGAATTTGGAATTTAGATGACCGGACTGAAGTTCTAGAGCGATACTGAAAAAGAAATGAAATGACGGATTGAAGTAGTAGAATAGTTCTTAAAATTCATGTTGTCTAAATTGTGGAAATACTTCATATCCTAAACTATGATTACGTCCTACTACTGTTGTTGGTGTGGCCACCATTTACTAAGCTTTTCAGTGAACCATAGGATGATGTGATCATGATCCAAACTGATAGTCTAATTAGTCCGATGATGTGATCAAGCCTACCCCAGATGTTACTGGACTTTAACGCCATACTGGGATCCATTTAAATATGTATTTATGTTTCTTTTGTTCTGGTGTTTATCTAGTAAGTGCTCACTGATACGTACAGATATGTTCATGAAGGCTTGGACCATTCAATCACGGCACCAATTGGCACTCCCAAAGGTTTGCTGATTGAGGATCATGAGATTAGATTCCCTAGATCCAGGACGGAGAGGAAGGGAAGGCATGACTTAAAGTTGGATAGACTGTCAGAGCGTGAAAAGGTAGATACTATTATATGCATGGTTGTTTGTTGCCATTCCTGCGTTTGCTTATAAATTTGATGTTCCAACTTTCAGAACTAGAAACATATTTGTTGGACTAGTTTCTTTCATGAAACTGCAACTTCATGCTGAATAGATGCGTGCCAAGTGTTGTCCCCTAAATTTGTTTGCAAAACATGGGTGTATGACAGACCCTGTCTTACACAGTATCTTGTACTGTTTCAGTACCTGATAATCGTGACATAAATTGAGCTATAATCTAGCGGCTCCAACCACTGAGGTTGCTAGTATCCTCCATCCCACTCCCCCTTCCCCCAATTCCTTATGAACATAATTTTGGATTGCAGATGGTTTATTTGATTTTATACATTCTTGTGGTTCATTCTCTTCTTGGTTGATCATTGCTTTTCTTGTTTTGGTTTTCAGAGAAAACTAATTGTTGAGATGGTCAAGATACAAAACGATGGAACAGTAGAAGTTGATTTGGAAAAAAGTGCACCTGTTGCCTCTGAGTTCTTAGAGCTCCACACTGTCGAAGATGTGTCCATCAATCTTGATGATATGCCTTCCAATACCATCAAGTCAATTCCAAGGTTGAAAATTTGCATACTTGTGGTTGGAACAAGAGGAGATGTACAGGCTTTCCTGGCTATGGCAAAGAGATTTCAGGCATGTTTAACATAACCAGATGACTTTTCTTATGAATAATTTACCGTTGTTGGCACTTATTTCTTACCTTTCCCCTAGTTGTATGTAATTTTACCATCATGGTTTGTTTTCCTTGTGGAAGAACTAGCTTCCTTCCCAAAAATCGACTTTCATCAATTTAGGTTACATTTATGATCCATGAAACCTTGAAATAATTTGTTGTCAATTTACATTCAGTCTGCTCTTGTTATACATGTTGTCATCGTACAGATGTGCGTTTTATTCTTAATGTACTGTCTTTTTAAGGAAGTACCAATATCATTGATATCTATCCGGTTAGGTATTGTTTTGTTGGTCCAATGAGTGCATTCTAAAGATTAGTTTTGTACCACTTTTTGGTGATATATGGCACATAGGTCATAATTCTTTGGGCTAACAGGATGCGAAGAGGTTAATAATTGTAACTTTGTCCTTGTTACGAAATAGTTATAACTCTTACCTGCAGAGATAGACCATGCTTGATGCTAGTACCTATAATAAATTTTAGGTATCACTGATATATTCCTATGTTTGTTGTATGTTTTATTGGTTGTAGATGGTTTTATGTTTTCTTGCAGGAGTTTGGCCATCATGTTAGGTTGGCAACTCATGCGAACTTTAGCTCTTTTGTGAAGTCGGCTGGTGTAGACTTCTATCCATTGGGTGGTGATCCTCGCGTTTTGATAGGATGTAAGAGGTCCTTAATATTGAAAGTGTTTATTTTTATTTTTTTATTTTTTATTTTTATTTTTTATAATATTTCCCAATTTATCTCAGCTGAACCCTAATTCCAACAAATTTTCTTAAAGTTAAACTGTAAGAGTTTGTGTGAAAGCTGGAGTTATTTGAATGTTGACTTCCTTAAATTAACTAACTTCTATTCTTTTATCCAAAATTCGATATTTCTAGAGCTTAGAACTCTCATTCACATCATCATTTAGACTCTAAATATGTTTATTGTTCTCAAATTCTACCCTTAAGTGCTTTATTGAATAACTGAAATTTAGTGCCTTTTAATTTTAGATATGACCAAAAATAAAGGTCTCATTCCATCCGGCCGAGAAGAAATATCAATACAAAGAAAGCAACTGAAGGCAATTATTGAATCTCTTCTTCCAGCATGCACAGAACCAGATATAGAAACTGGTGTGCCCTTTAAGGCACAGGCAATTATTGCAAACCCTCCTGCTTATGGTGAGTTAGTACAAGTGGAATATTGAATGTCACTTCAATTGAATTATGTTTCTGGTAAATCAATATGTATTACAGTTTACAAAAGGTTTTACGATGAACTCTTATTCACAATTAAATTAAAAAGTTGCGTTGTTAGCTTCTTGCGTCTTACGTCATCTTTCATTGTTGGACCTTCCCGCTTCAATCAAGATTAATTAAATCAGTATAATAGACCCTCCCTTGTAGTTGGTCCTGTTAAGCTTGAAATCAGAATATTGATCCAGGACTGAAGGACTGTACTGGTCGGAACTCGGAAGCCATGCGCTGAAATATTTAGTCAGCAAAAGGTTTAAACCCTTATTATGGGACCTTTGTAGTAACTAGATCTGTCCTTCAAGGAAAATTGTTTTCATCGAATATGTCAGTCACTGCATTTGTGGATCTGCCATTAGAAAATGATTGTGTGAATATAAAGTTTGATTAATGAACTTATTCTACATCTGCATCTTTTCTTCTTCTATCAAGTAAAAAGATATAGTTCAATCGTGAGAAACTTCTTAGATTATGTGATATGGGTTGCAGGACATGCTCATGTTGCGGAAGCTCTTGGAGTACCGCTTCATATTTTCTTCACAATGCCATGGACGTAAGTTTTAACCACTTCTTTTCTTGCATTCTTTTGATAGAGTAATTGTCCTCCTGGCAGACGCTATGACTTGTTAAGTTAGTCATTCAATCTGTACCACTCATTCAAACAGGAACCCACTTGAAGAGTTCTTCAAATTGACAGTCTGGAAACATTCGAGAGTTTCTGAAATGTTTCCCGGTATACATAATAATACATACAGTTCAATTATAGTAGGATTCTATGAAAGGAGGCAAGTCAGGCTGTGATCCTAATAGTTAGGTCCTGGATTAAAACACTTTTACAGATGGGATTAGAATGCTCTGATTTGGAGTCTTTTAGTCTTCACCAATAAGAGATATCTAGGATTATGGATTACCTCTTTAAGTTTCTTCATTATATCGATCTTAGCAAGCGTCAAGCATATACAAGTATAATTGATTCATTTATACCATTAGGAAGCAGAAAAGGTAGAAACTCTCTTGGTCACATGGATTGCATTGGTGTTTCAAGTTAACATTAATAAATTACAAAATAAAAGCTATTTAAGGATGCTTGAAAGAAATATTATGTTCTCATTCTTGTTTTCACTTTTCAGTAGGTATGTTATGTCTTGAATGCTGGTTTATTTTGCTGGGAACTCTCTTCTATGTTGTGCCATCTAACATAGCTTTCTATAGACAGGCCTACTTATAAATTTCCTCACCCGCTGGCACGTGTACCTCAAAGTGCTGGTTATTGGGTACGCGATTTGTTTGGTATTTACTGCTATTTATTTTATTGTCATATATTTGAACCACTGGACTAATTGATGAGAAATCTAATCCCATTTCTCTTTGCCACATCTAGATTTCATACATTATTGTGGATTTACTGATATGGTGGGGTATTCGGGGATATATAAATGACTTCAGAAAAAAGAAGTTGAAGCTTTCTCCTATTGCATACTTCAGCACATACCATGGATCAATATCTCATTTGCCTACAGGCTATATGTGGAGTCCCCACGTTGTGCCAAAGCCAAGTGGTAAGTAATTCGATATTAATTATTCTCTTCTACCAGTAGTCTATTTGTTGGGAGGTTTTGACATCGTATGATATATGCAGATTGGGGATCTCTTGTGGATGTCGTTGGTTATTGTTTCTTAAACCTTGGGTCGAAGTATCAACCTCAAGATGAGTTTGTTGAATGGATTCAGAAAGGGCCTAAACCTATATATATTGGCTTTGGAAGCATGGTATATGATCTCACTTAAATTATGTGTAAAGTGATTAAAACTGCAGTGTGTATTCCTGTTTTCTTATTTATTTATTTTAAACTTTATGTTCATGTTCAAAGTTCATATAACTTTCCATATCAAAAAACTTAGTTGAATCTGGAAGGATTGGTAGGACTATCTTCAATAACTCTGATTTGATCATTAGGAAAGCTCATATAACTTTAGTGCAGATTAGCCTTGTTCCTTGAAAATTGACAATTATCTCGTCTAGTAATATATGTAATTTCTGCTAGAGAATTTAGAGGGCTCTTTGAGTACCTTGATAATAATACCAATCGATTCCATAAACATCGATGTCTTGATCGTTGCAGATAGTGCCGAACTGAATTTTCTACCTCTAGATATTTTCTATCTTGACCTGGAATCAGGATGATAGCATATGGACATAATTAAGTCCATTTTTCTTTTGAAGAGGGTGCTTCTTTATCAATGTGGGTTAATGGCTGGATACGTGTAATTGTGGCTGATAATTTATTTCTTGAGTTGGTTTAATACTTTGATTTTTATCTTTTTTTCGGTAAAAAATTTATTCCTATCGTAATTCACATTCGTGGCTGATAAAATCATGTTTTCATCATGAGTTTTGAAAAGATTAGAACCTAAAACTTTGCCTTTTTTTTGTTAAGCCGCTCGATGATCCCAAGAAAACTACGAATATTATATTGGAGGCGTTGAAAGATACAGGACAGAGAGGAATAATTGATAGAGGTTGGGGAGACCTGGGTAATTGTAAGTGTCTATTCTTTTTTCAATTAGATCTCATTCTTTAACCTGTTCTTGGAAATTCCACTGTATGGGTTAAATTGTTTGTCAAGTGTTACGTGCTTTGATTTGTCAATTCATGTGCCTGTTGATATAGCACTTGACTATATCACCATATTATGGCTCTCTCTCTCTCTCTCTCTCTCTCTCTCTCTCTCTCTCTCTCTCTCTCTCTCTATCTCTATGTTAAATTTGGATGTCCTTAATATCTTTTGAATTTCAGTTGACTGATCGTGTTAATTTTTGTAATCGCTGTTCAATTACATGTTTTTTATAAGGGTATTTTAAACCAAAAACAGGAAAAAAGACGAGCTGTTCTAGTTGCTTTGCTTTAAAATAATGAAAAAGCATCTGATATCTTTTCCTCTAATTTGGTTTGTGTGTTGCAGTTACAGAAGCATCCGATAATGTTTTCCTCTTGGAGGACTGCCCTCATGATTGGCTATTTCCTCAATGTTCAGCAGTGGTATGCTGTATTTTATGGTTTCACCTTTTTGTTCCGTTTTAACTAATTTATCACTCATGTAACCTGCACAGTGATTGGACATTTTTTTCATAAACCAGTTGTGGATATTGATTTTTACTGCATGTTTTTAAAAGCTGTACTATCTTAAATATGCAGGTTCATCATGGTGGTGCTGGGACTACAGCTACAGGATTGAGAGCTGGGGTAATGTTCTTTTCAGTCAGTGTGGTCGTTCTAAAATCATTTATTTCTGGGAGAATGGCTTTATCGTTCACCATTGTATTTTTTTTGTTGGATATCTAATTGCACTATTTTACGATGTACAGTGTCCAACAACCATAGTGCCGTTCTTTGGCGATCAGTTCTTCTGGGGTGATAGGATACATGAGAAAGGCTTGGGGCCTGCACCAATACCTATTTCTCAGCTCAGTGTTGAGAGCCTTTCAAGTGCTATTAGATTCATGCTGGAGCCAGAGGTATTACTGTTGGTATTTGACAGTTTACTAACTCAATACCAAAATATGTGGGTGATAAGTTTACAAACTCTATCACACCTCTTTCACTTTGCACTCTCAACTAAAATTGGACAAAGAAATAGAGAAAGGAGGGAAGCAACAAGCTTTGATAAAACACTTGGACTTTGATATATGAAAAGAGAGTTTACAAACTCTATAGCTTACAAGCTTAAAATGAGAATGAGAAATGGGATTTTGATGGGATGATTTACAATGCTTGAGAACTTGGGTATTTATAGCAAACCAAATGATTAAACTAAGATTATTTATTACCACACAAAACACATTAATTGCACCTAATAATTTTTATTCAACCATACCTAACATTGCCTAACTTTCAATGCCTAACTTTGACATTGATTTTCAACAATAGCAACTTGTTTTGATTTGAATTTCCAACACACCTCCTCAAATCAAAACGCCTTCATTCCTAGCATTTCACGCAGTAGCCGGAATGTTTCAATTGGCAATGGCTTTGTGAAGATGTCTGCCACTTGTTCCTTGGTGTGACAGTAGACAAGTTCAATTGTCTTTTGCTTCACATGGTCCCTTAGAAAATGGAACCTGGTATCAATGTGCTTGCTCCTTCCATGTTGAACAGGATTTTTTGCAAGTTTGATTGCAGACACGTTATCTACGTGAATCACAGTCGATTCCACTTGTGGATGACACACTGACTTCAACAGATTTCTTAACCAAATTGCCTCACACACGGTTGAGGCTACAGCAACATACTCGGCTTCACATGATGACAAAGCAACAATTGATTGCTTCTTTGAAGTCCATGAGAAAGCTGTTGATCCTAGAAAAAACACATAGCCAGTTGTGCTTTTCCTTTCATCTTGGTCACCTCCCCAATCACTATCTGAATAACCAAATAATTTTGCATTTTCACCAAAATTATAAAATAGACCATAGTTTAGAGTACCTCTTATGTACCTCAAAATTCTCTTGGCGGCCAGCCAATGAGACTCCCTTGGTGTTTCCATGTATCGACTCACGAGTCCAACACCATAAACTATATCAGGTCTTGTGATTGTAAGGTACCTTAGGCTTCCAACGAGGCTTTTGTACACTGTTGAGTTTACAAACTCACTCTCTCCTCCTTTGGACAGCTTCAATCCAGTTGCGACTGGGGTATTGACAGTGTTGCACTTGTCCATATTGAACTTCTTCAATATGTCTCTCATGTACCTTTGTTGAGAGATGTAGATACCATCACTTTCTTGCTTCACTTCTATGCCAAGAAAGTATGACATTAATCCATTGTCAGTCATCTCGAATTCACTGAACATGGATTGCTTGAACTCATGGAACATTGCCTCATTGTTTCCTGTAAACAATAAATCATCTACATAGAGACAAATAATTAAGAACTCCCCTTTTTCACCATTCTTCATGTAAACTGAATGCTCGTATGGACATTTCTGAAATCCATTTTGGTGAAGGTAGTTGTCGATCCTTGAATTCCAAGCTCGTGGTGCTTGCTTGAGGCCGTACAAAGCCTTCTTCAAACGATACACCTTATCTTCTTCTCCTTGTACTTGGAAGCCTTCCGGTTGTTCCACGTACACTTCTTCCTCAAGTACTCCATTAAGGAAGGCTGACTTGACATCTAGTTGATAAATTTTCCATTTATGATGTGCGGCAAGAGAGATTAGCAATCTTACCGTGTCAAGTCTCGCAACTGGAGCATAGACTTCATCATAGTCCACTCCATACTTCTGTTTGTAGCCCTTTGCTACAAGCCTTGATTTGTATCGATCCACACTCCCATCTGCAGTGCGTTTGATCTTGTAAACCCACTTGACACCAATAGCCTTCTGATTTGGTGGGAGCTTTGTCAGCTCCCAAGTGTCATTCTTCTCGATGGCATGGATCTCTTCTTCCATGGCTTTCTTCCAACAATCTTCTTCCACAGCTTCATTGAATGAGAAAGGCTCGTGGTCTGCATACACGCAGAAAAGGTTGGTTTCTTCTTCTTCTTCTTGTCCATAAATCTCTGTGAGATTCCTTAACCTCACTGGAGTTGAGGAGCTGCTTTCCTCACTAGATGTAGGACCACTCCTTGCAATTCTGTGCACTGGAGTTGTTGTGATTGTTTGAGCAGGTTGTTGCTCAATCGGTGGTACAACTTCTGGTTCTTCAAAATCAGTGGAGACGATCTTCTCTTTACTGACTTCTTTGTTGTTCCACGTCCATGTCTCTTCCTCACTGAAGATGACATCTCTACTAACCACTAGTTTGCCAGTTAGTGGGTTGTAGAGCTTGTATGCCTTGGACTCTTCACTATAGCCCACAAACACACATTTCTCACCTCTATCATCAAGTTTCCTCCTCTTGGCTTCTGGAACTTGAGCATATGCAACACACCCAAAAATTCTTAGGTGTGTAACATTCGGCTTGTATCCACTCCAAGCCTCTTGTGGTGTCATCCTCTTGACACTCTTTGTTGGACATCGATTCAACAAATAAATCGAACAAGCTACAGCTTCTGCCCATAACTCTTTTGGCAAATTCTTCTCCTTAAGCATGGACCTTGTCATGTCAAGGATGGTTCGATTCTTTCTTTCGGCTATCCCATTTTGCTGTGGGGTGTAGGCAGCAGTAAGTTGATGCCTAATTCCTTGCTCCTTGCAGTATGCTTGGAAAGCATTGGAGGTGTACTCTCCACCTCTATCTGATCTCACAGCCACAAGCTTGTGGTTACTTTCTGCCTCTGTGAGTGCCTTGAACTCCTTGAAAATTTTTAGGGCAGCTGACTTCTCCTTGAGAAAATAGACCCAAGTCTTTCTACTGAAATCATCAATGAAGGTAATAAAATACATATTTCCTCCATAAGACATGGGATCCAATGGACCACATATATCTGTGTGCACCAACTGCAGTGGTGCCTTTGCTCTCCATGTATCACCAACAGGGAACGATAGTCGTGCTTGCTTGCCAAGCACACAACCTTCACATACTTGGCGTGTGGCTTCAATCTGGGGTAGACCACGAACCATTCCTCCACTTGACAGCAACTTTAGGCCATTGAAATTAAGATGGCCAAATCGAAGATGCCATTTCCATGACTCATCTTCCATTACACCGATGTTGCAGCTTCCAATCTTTGTGTTCAAATTCAACGGAAACATCCGGTTCTTTGACATTCGAACACGTGCAATAAGCTTTCTCCTTGCATTCCTGAGAGTGAGAAGCATGTTCTCCATATGTATAATGTACCCTTTCTGGAGCAGTTGACCAATGCTCAGAATGTTGCTCTTCATACCTGGTATGTAGTAGGTATCGGAGATGTATTCTTCTCTTCCATCCTTCTGGATGATCTTGATCTTCCCTTTGCCTTCAACTGGCAACTTTGAGGAGTCACCAAGACTTACAGATCCATAGGCCCCTTCTTTGAGTTCGGCAAAAAACTCTTTCTTTCCACACATGTGATTGCTTGCACCAGAGTCCAAATACCAAACATCTTGTTGGCTACTGGAATCATGGTGTGCTAGTAAGACTGTAAGTTCTTCATCGGTATTTCCACTTGATTCTGCCATGTTGACATGCTCACCATTTTTATGTGAACATTCATTGGCATAATGTCCATATTGCTTACAGTTGTGACACTGGATATGCGCCTTTCCTCGAGTAGATCTCCACTCCTGAGACTGACCTTGATTTTGTGCATAGCCTCGACCTCTTCCTCGGGCTCGTCCTCGGCTACGGTTGGATGGGCTCCCACGACGTGAGTTCCACTGCCCACGACCTTTATTTGGTTTGTCAATATTCAACTTTGACTCCAAAGCTTGCTCTAGCGTTGTGGGGCTTGCATTCTTCTGAATGCGTTGCTCGTGAACTAGGAGGGATCCTAGTAGCTCTTCTGCGCTCATCACCTCCAAATCCTTGGATTCCTCAATGGCAGTCACCACATGCTCAAACTTAGATGTGAGTGACCGGAGTATCTTCTCCACAACTCGTACTTCATCGAGTCTCTCGCCATTTCTCCTCATCTGATTTACTATCACAATGAGCCTTGAGTGATAGTCGGAGATGCTCTCCCCTTCATTCATATGAGCAGTTTCAAAATCTGCTCGAAGTGATTGTAACCTCACTTTCTTGACTCGATCTACTCCTTTGTAGATTGTACTGAGTGTATCCCATACTTGTTTGCTCGTTGTTGCTTCTGCAACCTTCTCGAACGTTGAATCTTCCAAACCCTGGTATAGAAGATACAGCGCCTTTTGGTCCTTCTTTCGTAAGTCCTTGAGAGTGTTCCTTTGATCCGCAGTAGATACGGCTTCTTGCTCGGCAGTGGGTACAACATACCCACTACTGACAACTTCCCATAGCTCCTGTGATCCAAACAATGCTTTGAATTGGATGCACCATCTTTCATAATTTTCTTTCTTCAATGTGGGAACTTGGAGTTGCACTAAGTTGGACGCCATAACTGCTGCACCTGCCAGAATGGTATTCTGGCTCTGATACCAATTGTTGGTATTTGACAGTTTACTAACTCAATACCAAAATATGTGGGTGATAAGTTTACAAACTCTATCACACCTCTTTCACTTTACACTCTCAAATAAAATTGGACAAAGAAATAGAGAAAGGAGGGAAGCAACAAGCTTTGATAAAACACTTGGACTTTGATATATGAAAAGAGAGTTTACAAACTCTATAGCTTACAAGCTTAAAATGAGAATGAGAAATGGGATTTTGATGGGATTATTTACAATGCTTGAGAACTTGGGTATTTATAGCAAACCAAATGATTAAACTAAGATTATTTATTACCACACAAAACACATTAATTGCACCTAATAATTTTTATTCAACCATACCTAACATTGCCTAACTTTCAATGCCTAACTTTGACATTGATTTTCAACAATAGCAACTTGTTTTGATTTGAATTTCCAACAATTACTGCACCAATACCTGTTTCTCGTTTTGAAAATTATTTGTTTATCATATACAACAACCAAGCCTTATCCCACTAAGTGGTGGATGCCATGCCTTATCGAAGTAATTCTACTAATTCTTTTAAACTCATGACAACTTAATGTTGCTCTTCATCCTTGGTATTTCTTCCTTCTTATTGAATCAAACTCCTTGTAACCGTCTCTATAGATTTTATTCACAGAGCATTTACACGTGAATGAGAGTGTGAGTGGTGTGTGTGTTTTATTGGTCAATAATAGACAACCAATGAACCCCAAAAGATTAAACTGGTAATTAATGAGCTAACAATGCATTAGCTAACAAGTCAGAATGTGTGAAGCCTTGTGATCATACTTTTAACAGTATGACCATACTTTTAACAGTAATAGCATTAGCTGAAACGTTACCAGGTTAGATTAAATCCGTTCCTTTCTTTCTTGTTTTCATGTTTTTTTTTTCAATTAGCATTATGATGTTCACTTTGTTTATTAAAATCTGATTGCACCAAAAGACAGCCTTCAGGAGTGCACAAACTACTGAAAGTAGGAAACTCTACTCAGAATTTAGACCGTACCACAAAAAAGATAATGCAGACAGCATGAGAACACACTGAGAAAAACCAGAAACCAAGCAATCATGGAACAATGGACAGAAACAAATCAAATATCACAAATAATTAACACATGTCTTACAATCTCCGCCAAAGAAAAAAAGGGCTAATAATGTTTCAGTTATTCCTTACCAAACACTTAAGCAATTAGAGAATCAGATACAATCCTTCAATTATTTATCAGCACTACTCATCATTGCTCAGTTGGAAATGTTGGAAATTCAAATCAAAACAAGTTGCTATTGTTGAAAATCAATGTCAAAGTTAGGCATTGAAAGTTAGGCAATATTAGGTATGGTTGAATAAAAATTATTAGGTGCAATTAATGTGTTTTGTGTGGTAATAAATAATCTTAGTTTAATCATTTGGTTTGCTATAAATACCCAAGTTCTCAAGCATTGTAAATCATCCCATCAAAATCCCATTTCTCATTCTCATTTTAAGCTTGTAAGCTATAGAGTTTGTAAACTCTCTTTTCATATATCAAAGTCCAAGTGTTTTATCAAAGCTTGTTGCTTCCCTCCTTTCTCTATTTCTTTGTCCAATTTTATTTGAGAGTGCAAAGTGAAAGAGGTGTGATAGAGTTTGTAAACTTATCACCCACATATTTTGGTATTGAGTTAGTAAACTGTCAAATACCAACAATTGGTATCAGAGCCAGAATACCATTCTGGCAGGTGCAGCAGTTATGGCGTCCAACTTAGTGCAACTCCAAGTTCCCACATTGAAGAAAGAAAATTATGAAAGATGGTGCATCCAATTCAAAGCATTGTTTGGATCACAGGAGCTATGGGAAGTTGTCAGTAGTGGGTATGTTGTACCCACTGCCGAGCAAGAAGCCGTATCTACTGCGGATCAAAGGAACACTCTCAAGGACTTACGAAAGAAGGACCAAAAGGCGCTGTATCTTCTATACCAGGGTTTGGAAGATTCAACGTTCGAGAAGGTTGCAGAAGCAACAACGAGCAAACAAGTATGGGATACACTCAGTACAATCTACAAAGGAGTAGATCGAGTCAAGAAAGTGAGGTTACAATCACTTCGAGCAGATTTTGAAACTGCTCATATGAATGAAGGGGAGAGCATCTCCGACTATCACTCAAGGCTCATTGTGATAGTAAATCAGATGAGGAGAAATGGCGAGAGACTCGATGAAGTACGAGTTGTGGAGAAGATACTCCGGTCACTCACATCTAAGTTTGAGCATGTGGTGACTGCCATTGAGGAATCCAAGGATTTGGAGGTGATGAGCGCAGAAGAGCTACTAGGATCCCTCCTAGTTCACGAGCAACGCATTCAGAAGAATGCAAGCCCCACAACGCTAGAGCAAGCTTTGGAGTCAAAGTTGAATATTGACAAACCAAATAAAGGTCGTGGGCAGTGGAACTCACGTCGTGGGAGCCCATCCAACCGTAGCCGAGGACGAGCCCGAGGAAGAGGTCGAGGCTATGCACAAAATCAAGGTCAGTCTCAGGAGTGGAGATCTACTCGAGGAAAGGCGCATATCCAGTGTCACAACTGTAAGCAATATGGACATTATGCCAATGAATGTTCACATAAAAATGGTGAGCATGTCAACATGGCAGAATCAAGTGGAAATACCGATGAAGAACTTACAGTCTTACTAGCACACCATGATTCCAGTAGCCAACAAGATGTTTGGTATTTGGACTCTGGTGCAAGCAATCACATGTGTGGAAAGAAGGAGTTTTTGCCGAACTCAAAGAAAGGGCCTATGGATCTGTAAGTCTTGGTGACTCCTCAAAGTTGCCAGTTGAAGGCAAAGGGAAGATCAAGATCATCCAGAAGGATGGAAGAGAAGAATACATCTCCGATACCTACTACATACCAGGTATGAAGAGCAACATTCTGAGCATTGGTCAACTGCTCCAGAAAGGGTACATTATACATATGGAGAACATGCTTCTCACTCTCAGGAATGCAAGGAGAAAGCTTATTGCACGTGTTCGAATGTCAAAGAACCGGATGTTTCCGTTGAATTTGAACACAAAGATTGGAAGTTGCAACATCGGTGTAATGGAAGATGAGTCATGGAAATGGCATCTTCGATTTGGCCATCTTAATTTCAATGGCCTAAAGTTGCTGTCAAGTGGAGGAATGGTTCGTGGTCTACCCCAGATTGAAGCCACACGCCAAGTATGTGAAGGTTGTGTGCTTGGCAAGCAAGCACGACTATCGTTCCCTGTTGGTGATACATGGAGAGCAAAGGCACCACTGCAGTTGGTGCACACAGATATATGTGGTCCATTGGATCCCATGTCTTATGGAGGAAATAGGTATTTTATTACCTTCATTGATGATTTCAGTAGAAAGACTTGGGTCTATTTTCTCAAGGAGAAGTCAGCTGCCCTAAAAATTTTCAAGGAGTTCAAGGCACTCACAGAGGCAGAAAGTAACCACAAGCTTGTGGCTGTGAGATCAGATAGAGGTGGAGAGTACACCTCCAATGCTTTCCAAGCATACTGCAAGGAGCAAGGAATTAGGCATCAACTTACTGCTGCCTACACCCCACAGCAAAATGGGATAGCCGAAAGAAAGAATCGAACCATCCTTGACATGACAAGGTCCATGCTTAAGGAGAAGAATTTGCCAAAAGAGTTATGCGCAGAAGCTGTAGCTTGTTCGATTTATTTGTTGAATCGATGTCCAACAAAGAGTGTCAAGAGGATGACACCACAAGAGGCTTGGAGTGGATACAAGCCGAATGTTACACACCTAAGAATTTTTGGGTGTGTTGCATATGCTCAAGTTCCAGAAGCCAAGAGGAGGAAACTTGATGATAGAGGTGAGAAATGTGTGTTTGTGGGCTATAGTGAAGAGTCCAAGGCATACAAGCTCTACAACCCACTAACTGGCAAACTAGTGGTTAGTAGAGATGTCATCTTCAGTGAGGAAGAGACATGGACGTGGAACAACAAAGAAGTCAGTAAAGAGAAGATCGTCTCCACTGATTTTGAAGAACCAGAAGTTGTACCACCGATTGAGCAACAACCTGCTCAAACAATCACAACAACTCCAGCGCACAGAATTGCAAGGAGTGGTCCTACATCTAGTGAGGAAAGCAGCTCCTCAACTCCAGTGAGGTTAAGGAATCTCACAGAGATTTATGGACAAGAAGAAGAAGAAGAAACCAACCTTTTCTGCGTGTATGCAGACCACGAGCCTTTCTCATTCAATGAAGCTGTGGAAGAAGATTGTTGGAAGAAAGCCATGGAAGAAGAGATCCATGCCATCGAGAAGAATGACACTTGGGAGCTGACAAAGCTCCCACCAAATCAGAAGGCTATTGGTGTCAAGTGGGTTTACAAGATCAAACGCACTGCAGATGGGAGTGTGGATCGATACAAATCAAGGCTTGTAGCAAAGGGCTACAAACAGAAGTATGGAGTGGACTATGATGAAGTCTATGCTCCAGTTGCGAGACTTGACACGGTAAGATTGCTAATCTCTCTTGCCGCACATCATAAATGGAAAATTTATCAACTAGATGTCAAGTCAGCCTTCCTTAATGGAGTACTTGAGGAAGAAGTGTACGTGGAACAACCGGAAGGCTTCCAAGTACAAGGAGAAGAAGATAAGGTGTATCGTTTGAAGAAGGCTTTGTACGGCCTCAAGCAAGCACCACGAGCTTGGAACTCAAGGATCGACAACTACCTTCACCAAAATGGATTTCAGAAATGTCCATACGAGCATTCAATTTACATGAAGAATGGTGAAAAAGGGGAGTTCTTAATTATTTGTCTCTATGTAGATGATTTATTGTTTACAGGAAACAATGAGGCAATGTTCCATGAGTTCAAGCAATCCATGTTCAGTGAATTCGAGATGACTGACAATGGATTAATGTCATACTTTCTTGGCATAGAAGTGAAGCAAGAAAGTGATGGTATCTACATCTCTCAACAAAGGTACATGAGAGACATATTGAAGAAGTTCAATATGGACAAGTGCAACACTGTCAATACCCCAGTCGCAACTGGATTGAAGCTGTCCAAAGGAGGAGAGAGTGAGTTTGTAAACTCAACAGTGTACAAAAGCCTCGTTGGAAGCCTAAGGTACCTTACAATCACAAGACCTGATATAGTTTATGGTGTTGGACTCGTGAGTCGATACATGGAAACACCAAGGGAGTCTCATTGGCTGGCCGCCAAGAGAATTTTGAGGTACATAAGAGGTACTCTAAACTATGGTCTATTTTATAATTTTGGTGAAAATGCAAAATTATTTGGTTATTCAGATAGTGATTGGGGAGGTGACCAAGATGAAAGGAAAAGCACAACTGGCTATGTGTTTTTTCTAGGATCAACAGCTTTCTCATGGACTTCAAAGAAGCAATCAATTGTTGCTTTGTCATCATGTGAAGCCGAGTATGTTGCTGTAGCCTCAACCGTGTGTGAGGCAATTTGGTTAAGAAATCTGTTGAAGTCAGTGTGTCATCCACAAGTGGAATCGACTGTGATTCACGTAGATAACGTGTCTGCAATCAAACTTGCAAAAAATCCTGTTCAACATGGAAGGAGCAAGCACATTGATACCAGGTTCCATTTTCTAAGGGACCATGTGAAGCAAAAGACAATTGAACTTGTCTACTGTCACACCAAGGAACAAGTGGCAGACATCTTCACAAAGTCATTGCCAATTGAAACATTCCGGCTACTGCGTGAAATGCTAGGAATGAAGGCGTTTTGATTTGAGGAGGTGTGTTGGAAATTCAAATCAAAACAAGTTGCTATTGTTGAAAATCAATGTCAAAGTTAGGCATTGAAAGTTAGGCAATATTAGGTATGGTTGAATAAAAATTATTAGGTGCAATTAATGTGTTTTGTGTGGTAATAAATAATCTTAGTTTAATCATTTGGTTTGCTATAAATACCCAAGTTCTCAAGCATTGTAAATCATCCCATCAAAATCCCATTTCTCATTCTCATTTTAAGCTTGTAAGCTATAGAGTTTGTAAACTCTCTTTTCATATATCAAAGTCCAAGTGTTTTATCAAAGCTTGTTGCTTCCCTCCTTTCTCTATTTCTTTGTCCAATTTTATTTGAGAGTGCAAAGTGAAAGAGGTGTGATAGAGTTTGTAAACTTATCACCCACATATTTTGGTATTGAGTTAGTAAACTGTCAAATACCAACAGGAAATGGATTAAAAATGAAAACAAATATGATATGTTAAAAATTTCATGCTATTAAATGGTAAGCTTTCCTCTTTATAGCGTAGGTCATGTGTTAGTCCGTTAATGAGAAAATAGTGCAGCAACATAGCACACCAGGCATTCGTTCTAACCAGGAATTGAAACCCTCTTAGGTTAAATCTCAAGTACTAGAAATAGCAAAGTTGATAGAGAATGAAGACGGTGTTGCAGCTGCAGTTGATGCATTTCACCGGCACTTACCTCCTGAGTTACCATTGCAACCTGCATCTTCAGAGGAAGATGAGCTTCCAAGCCCTATGGTGTGGTTATTTCTTCAACTTCAGAAGTGGTGCTGCCTGCCTTGTGGTGTGTAGGATTCTTGCTGTGTCTTGTGCTGTTGTACAGATATGTTTTTCTTTTTAATTTTTTTTTTATATTCATAATATAGATTGGCGTTTCATTCATTTCATCTATGGCTTCCCTGCGTGGGTTTGATTGATAAATTGCTTACAAGTTAATATAGGGTTCTCACATCTTGGGGTATAGAGAATTAAAAAAAAATCAAATTTCGTTTCAGTTAGTAAAGCTGACAAAGTGAGAATATAACGATGCTGAACCAAATCAATTATTTATATCAATTTTTTCATTATTTACTTCAGTTCGTGTTGTATCAATTTTCATTGACCTGAGAAATATAAGTACGTGGTTCCGCATAAGATTTGCTGAAGTCAAATGTTTTGTCATTTTGATGCTGTGTACCCCAACCTTGGTTTGCAAGCACACTCCTTATCTTAGGGACACGGGATAGGGCCAAGTTTTGGCTTACTTTGGTATCAAGGAACACTTTTTTTTACATCTCGTCAACTACCACATTCCTCAAGCTGGTAAGCCAATTATTATTGTATATGAGTGAATATATGTATATATCTATGTATGTACTTCTGTGCGGTTCTTGAGATCTTTCCCAATTCTATTTCTTGACTTTTTATATATTCATCACAGAAAGAATAATAATACAACATATTTACGGGTTTTGAATCCTGTAAGAAATTGAACAATGTGTTTGAAGGTACAGAGATATGCAAACTGATGTTTGCTTGTCTTTGAACTCTGCTCAGATTGTATAAATAATTGGAGCGCTGTAATAGTGAGACATTCTTGAAACTGCTTGTAGGAGTCGAACAATTTTATCGAACCTTGAGATAGTTAGCAACTTTGGTTGCCAGAGAATTTCAGCATTTTGTCCATCTTGCATAGGGGTTGAGTAATAGGATTTAATGATTGTATGGATTATGAAAGTGCTACTGAATCCTGTATGATTTGCACTGGTACAGTCTTACTATAACTGAAGTAGAAGGGGGCGAAAGAGTTATACGAGTTCTCAAGTAAAACCGTAGCGTTGTACTCCATATATAGACCGGTAGATACACTGTAACGACACACTTGGCTACTTAATACAAATATTCTACTAATTTCCGTCATTTTTTGTAAAGTTGATCTCTTTCCACCTTGATTCCATGTAGTTACTCGAATTCTCTGGTGTGGCATACACTCCACATGTGAAATACAGGTCCCCTGGTCCTTGGCCTTCCACCTCAAACTTCTTGACACCATCAATGAAAACTATTATCTTTCCTTTGTCAACGTTGTGGATTATGTTTACTTGAAACCACTTGTCGTAGGGATCAATAGCTACGAGGTTGTATTTGTAGTATTTGATATCTCCGTCGTACATCCTTAGCTGTAGAGATGTAGCTCCCTCAGCTGCACCGTGGATCTGCACAATTGTAACCCCAGAATTATCACTTGGCACATATATGTTCTTCAAATTGCCAAATTCCAGAAGAATGGTCATGCCCCTGCAACAAAACCCCCAAGTTCGGCAACTAGTTGAAATATTAGTGACATAGCATTGTGAAAAAATGGTAGGAAGAGGGAGAGAGATATATATACCGATATGCGCAGCTCTGAGCTCGGTTGTCAGTTTTGAAGGGCTTGTCATGATTGTAGATCCAAAAACCTCGAACCCCATCCTTGTAACTGTAACGATCATCGAGGGGTTCGTTGTATGGTGTTTGTAAGACGAAGTTGTCTTCCGTCAATGGCACAAGGGTGAATCCATTGGTAGGATCAGCAGCACAAAGACTGACACAACCATTTATTTTAATAAAAGAAAAAAATCAAAAACAAATTCAATAACCCTTTTAGGCATTGGTCGGTCACAAGTAGGGGTGAAACTTGGGTTGGACCAATCCGACTCGTTTATGTTTAACCCGACTTTAAACCCAAACAAGTGAGTTTTTTTTAGTTATAAACTGTCTAAACCCAACTCAATTTCAACCCGTTTATTGATTGGGTTGAGTTGTGTTTATCATTTCCCTATCCATCCCCAACCCAACCCAACCCGACTAACCAAACTCAATCTAACTAGATTATAACTTATATCAATTAATGCTCATACTACACCCAAGTGAGCTAAGTCCAAAAATCAATGCACTTTCTAATTTTTTTTTTTTTTAATAAATTACCCTTTATAATTACTTAAGCTTTTAGGGAATAAGAGGTTTTGAATAGTCAACCCATATTTGTAGTTTCTAAATCCTAAGGCTTTATAATAGATGGATTTATGAAATTAAAGTTAGCTAGCTTTGATGTTACTTGGCTTAATTTTTTAGGAATTCTTGGAAACTAAGTTGTTATAAGATTAAACTTGAAAAAGTTGGGCAACCCAAACTCAACCCAAGTAAACCCTAGCCCAATTAAACCCGAGCCCAAATGAACCCCAATGATACCCAACCCAAACCCAAGCCCGAATTGTAAAATTTGAGTTAGGATTGGGTTGACCTTCCAACCCGCCCGAGTTGCACCCCTAGTCTTAAGCGATCTATTATTCATAAAGGAAAAAGGCATATTTTTTTATTTGCCCTCCGAATGTATATGGAATTGCCAATTTTCTTTTTAAACTTTAATTTTAGCCAATTATCTTTTTGAACTTTTATAATTAGCCAATTTTCCCTTGAACTTTAATTTTAGGGAGTTTTAACGAAACGCTTCTGATACTGTTCATTTTTTAACGAAAAACCACATTTTTACCTTTTCCTGATACTATTCACTGCACCTTTATTTGTCATTTTTCATTAAAACTAAAGTTTTTTTTTTTTTTTGACTTTTCGTGAGTTTTCCTTTAATTTTAACCGATTACCCCTTGAACTTTTATAAATAGCCAATTCCTTCCTGGCATTAGATTTTAAAAATTTTCATTCAATTTTCGATCCATCTTGATTACAGGAACAACACATGACAATTGTATGAGGGCAAAAAAGATGGAATTTTTTTTTTTTGAAAAAAAAATGGAAAGTTAAATGGATGAAAAATTGAATGAATTTTTTTTTTAAAATATAACGCCAAGGGGAAAATTAGCTATTTATAAAAGTTCAAGGCGGTAACGACCAAAAGTAAAGTTCAGGTGGGAAATGGCTAATTATACAAGTTCAGGGGGCTAATCGGCTAAAATTAAAGTTCAAAGGGAAAATTGGAAATTCTATACAAGTTCAGAGGGTAAATCAACAAATACCTCAAGAAAAAATATATAAGATTATTGATATTGATATCAGTATGTAAAAAGTTATCACATTTGGAACGAGCTCTTAGTAGCTATTGTGAAAGGAAATGTAAAGGAGATTATATTTTTTGATCATATTTTGTAGATCACATGATACGGTAGTTAATGGTTGGATTCTTTTTTTAATGATTTAAAGAGCGAGTCCAACCATCAACTGCCACATCATGTAATTACAAAAATATAGCTCAAGATAGTTTCTCTAACATTGTCCAATGTGAAAACAAAGAGAATATTTAATACTGTTTATTAAACGTTAGTTTAAATGCCGTTATTCTTCGTAGTGGAAAAGCTTGTTTGGGATTGCATTGGGAATTAGAAGTGTTTTTTGACAACTAAAATACTTACGACTGTGAGAAGGCATTTGGATTTTCAATGAAAATTTTGACATATTTATACTGAAAACGCTTATGAGCAGAAATTCATTCTACAAAAGCAGTCCCACTACACGAATCCTAAGTTCCATGGTCTAAATATTATATATACTTTGAAGCTGCAGAAGCTTGCGTTACATTGGCATGGAAACATCTCAAGGCAGTTGGCTGTAGCTCGAACACAAACATACATAAAATTTGTCCATCGCAGAATATATAATCATCATCACTTTTTATATATTTTGATGTCTTTCCAACGTGATTCCATGTAGTAGCTTATGTTAGCCGGTGCAGCATAAACTCCACATTTGAAGTACAAGTCTCCTGGCCCTTTATCCTTCACCTGAAATTTCTGGACTCCGTCGATGAAAACAGTCACCGTGCCTCCGTCAACGTCGTGAATTATGTTAAGTCTGAACCACTTATCGTAAAGATTTGTAGCCACTAAATCTCGACTATAATACCTCATGTCGCCGTTATAGATTCTTAGGATTATTGTGGTAGCACCATGAGCTGCTCCATGTATCTGTGCTACCGTAGCACCGGAGGTTCCATTTGGTACAAATCCATACCCTTCAAATTGCCATATTCCAGATGAATAGTCAAGACCCTACATAAAACTTAGTTAGGTCTAGCTGATGATTGTATATGAATCTCGACCACCAGTTCTGGAAGCGTTCTACACAAGACGTATACAATACATAGCAAAAACGCACACACAAAGCGTTTTTTCTTGCTAAACTTATGTTGGCGGACTATATTTGGTATAAGTCAACATGAGCAATAATTCATACTCACTGCCAACAATGTAAATCCACTTGTCTGATAAAAATCAACGTGATCAATGTCCCATATTTATATTTATATTTTTTTTTTAAAAGAAGAAATTTCTTGCCCACTGTATTTTAAGTACTGTTCTCTCTAGTCGATCAGTTAACAATTTATGAATATTTGGGGTATGTATATAGGTTAGTAGCCTCATATCAAACCGTCTGACAATATAAGAATTTATCGGTAAAATTGTGACTCTGAACAACACATTTAGTCAAAAATCGACTTAATTAATTCACCAAATATGAACATAAATATATATCAGTACATATATGTTATAAACAGAGAGTAGCGCAGGTAGGGAGATGTTACCCGTATGCGAACTTCAGTACGTGGCTGGGTTTGGCTACTAGGGTTATGGGGCTTGTCATCAGCATAGACCCACAAACGCCTTACTCCATTGACACTACTATAGCGCTTCTCCAGTGGTACGTCATACGGTTTCTGTAATTCGAAATTATATTCCGTCAACGGAACATCGATGAAGCCATCAGTGGGATCAGCACCACATAACTGAATAATGTCTTTCAGTGAGCCCAGAAAAACCAAGGAGAGAAGCATATAGCAGTAGCTACCTCTCATAGTTGATGGTGGGAGCTTATATCTCTGACTATATGTACATATATTTATAGGACATTAGAACATCGGTCACATTACATAATTTTTATTCTTAATTTTACCATTTTGTAATTTGTCATTTACTAATGAAAAGTTTGCGTATTGGAAGATAATTATTGACATGATTCCCGATAACTTATATTATAACACATACTGTCATGTGATCCTAGGTACATAGAAGCAGCTATCTCAAATACAAAGAATAATAATGAAGCGACTTTGAACTGCCTTTAGTATTACCATATTAAACTAATTAATTAAAGTCCTTAGACGAAGTTATTATATCGGCGAGTGTATGTGCAGGGTAGTTAGCATAATATTGTTAAATTCAAGCTAATTAATAATGTAAATACCCACAAGATGACAATGCATGTGAAGGCACCCAAGGATGGTTTCTTGGAACATAATGACAAAGGTAGTTATAAAATAAAATTAGCAATTTAGCCTGCAGGGTAGTTAGCATAGTATAGTGCAGGATGACTGCGTCAAAGACCAAAAATACTCAAAATTTAATTGTCTAAATGCAATAAAATTAGTGTATGTGCAGACTTCTTCCACATGGAGGGAATCGTGTTCGTTGTTATACAATACAATTAGCATACTAATGAACATTATTCTCTACGAAAGTTAATAGTCTATGTGCAGGAAGACTAATTCATCCAATCTTTCGTCTTCTTCATGATATTCAATGCAAGGAGATTATCAGACGAAAAATGCTATTCTTATCGTTCTTTATACCATCATTTGTCTTATCTTTTTAATAGAAATGGGACACAGATGTGTCTGCGGGCCTTACTTTTATTGGAGAGATTGTACAAGTAATGGTACAAATAAACGACAAAAGAGAGTGCTTATATGCAGTCATGCTCTTCTAAGATCCTCATGTTCAAGACGCTTGAGAATCAAATGTATATCAACCATAAGATTATATTAGTTTATATCCAAAAGCTTAAAATATTTGACAACTTAATAAACCAAAACCAACATAAAACCCATGAACCATTAGAAAATTCATTTTCTTGTTATGGTTTATTAAGTTGTCCAATATTATAAAGACTAATATAATATTGTGGCTAGTACGCATTTGGTCCTCACAAAGCCTCAAAATGAAGACATTAGGAGAGCATAACTCATTGTGGATGACATTTGCACAAAGTTATTTTGTGAAAGGATATATAGAAGAGAAGAAGAGAAAGCGTCAGAGACATTCATCTTTTGCCTATATGAAGCATATAATGCCTAATTTTGTTTATATTGGTCTTAGTGATAGATTTTTAGTGTGATACTTGCATCTTAGCCAAGAGTCATCATGTTCCTTATTACTTGAGTTTATAGAGAAGTGATGTCCCTTTTGTATTGGTACCTTCGAAAGTTGGGGACCATCCCCAACCTCTAGTGTTTCAAGTAATAAGTGGTGTGACATTTGTGGGTATTTGCACTTGTATGACATGGGTATATTCTTGAAGAACAAGAGTGAGAGGATTTTTTAATTTTCAATCTTTTCATAAGATGATACATCTTAGTTTTCAAGGAAAGTCCAGATCCTCCGTGTTGGGTTTCAGGCTAGTTATTGGGATAAATTTAATTTAAATATTAACTATGCAATGAAAAAAATAAAAATAACATACAATATGTTATCTGGATTATATATCTGGTTGGTTGTAATCGATAATGCAATAAATAAAGATGGCGAAGAAGTTAACTTACATGAATCCTTGTGCTTGTGTACTTCCTCTTCATTATTGATCACGAAAAGTTCCCTAAGTACTGAGCCTCTAAGAGTATCCACACTTATACACCAACGATAGATGATGAAGTGAAGGATTTGATTATTCTAGCAAGATCATTCACTTGAATTAATTCTCTTGGCCACACTTGGAAGTTCAGCTAGGATTTTTCTCTCTTTTCTCTATAGGACAAAAATGATCATTAGGGACTATTGACCTTAAAAACTATTTAGCCCATGTGGTGTGCAAGCCAAATAGCTAATAAGCTAATTACATCATTCGATTGAATGCGGCGCATGCCAACTCATCGGTCGAGCTCGGCCGGGGAGTGAATGAATGTTGTTGTGGCATTGAGTGTGTTGATGACCTCTAAATCTTGCGATTATGGCCAGGGAACGAACGTGGTTCAGCCTTCGTGTTCTAGAGCCTGAAGATAAAGCTGCTAGTTATTATGAAGTTCAATAAATGTTTAGCTTTCAATGTGCTGAATGTCGTAGCCTGGTAACACCCCAACTCGCTGAAAAGCTAATGGGATAATCTCTTCCAACAAGGATTCAGAGATTCCCTGTTAACTAAGACTTGGATAGATAATTAATCGATCTCGAAGTAGTGTTGTTTATCCAAACTGAAGATGTCGTCAGTTGCCTTTACAATGCTATTTATCCAAGTTGAAGATGTTTTGGTGGGAAAAACAGTAAAATAAAATTCTCAAGAGGGTTGAGAAGTTTCGCGTAGAGCGAGAGTTTGTGCATAGCAGATTTGTGTGTTTATTTGAAGAGAGCTCAAATATTGTCTGCAGCTTTGTATTTATGGAGAGAGTATGCTCATTGAACAAAATGAATACGAGATATTCCTTGTGGCAAATGATCCTCAATTGACATTATCCACCTAAGCTACGAGCACCAATCGACTCAAACCAAACAATAGGATAGAGTCTTGATATTTCAAACCCTCTTGTGATTTGCACCTTGATCATCATTTGGTGGGGACAAAAATTTATCTCTTCTTTTTATATTTTGGCATATGATCATGATGATTTTGACTTTACTACGTGTGTATTTGATGTTTGGAGGTGCACTAATTGGTGTATTGATATACATAATGGTTTATCTTGAGTGGAGCCATTAGGCAATCGAGAAGTACTTTCAGTTTGGATAGACAACACTGTTTCGAGACCGACTAATTATCTATCCAAGTCTCAATTAACAAGGGATATTTCAACTACCACAATTCCTCCAAGCAGTTATATTTAGTATATATAATATCTCAAATATCGCAAACATACATTTCATTCAAGGGGAATTGGAAATCATGCACTGCAGATCAAATATAGCAAACACACATTTCATTTTCCAGATGGTAACTTCTTTTTTGGGAAGTGTGTGTAGGACAGACGTGATCAACTTAGTTTAGTAAGTTTACTGTTTATTAAATTAAGTTTAGTAGGATATTATTCTATTTCTATTTCGCTTATTGTTTGTGGTTGTTAATATCATTAAATTTGTGAAATGGCTAGTAAGTTTGAATTGATCAAAATTGAGAGGCTCAATAGTGTCAATCATTGTATATGGAAGAGAATGGTTGCTTATCTTCTTACCCACAAAAAAACTAAGTATACAATTCAAGATGAGGCACCCATTCAGGGTTCTTGTGCTTCTACAAAGTGGGAGAAGGATAATGAAATGGCTCATGCCATAATTCTCAACCATATGGAAGATGATTTGATTCCTCTTTATGAGGGATATACAACTACCAAGGAGATCATGGATATTCTTGAAGACAAGTACAGTCCCAAATCTCAAACTTATATTCAATTACTTCTTGAGAAGTACAATGAGACACGTATGTCTGAGAATGATAGCATGGTGGACCATGTTACCAAGATGGAGATTATGGCAAGAGATCTTTCTAATGTTGGCCATCCTATTTTTGATGAAATGCAGTCTCTATACTTTTGAATAGTTTACCAAAGTCGTGGGATCATGTAGTAACTGCTTTGACATATGGTCAAAAGGAATTAACCATGACCACATTACTTGCGCTATTGGCTATAAGGGAAGTTAAAATGAATCGGAGGAAGGAAAATGACAAGATTATTAGAGATGGTGGTCTTCTACTGACTGAAAGTTCACAAAGTAAGCCACAAAGGATTAACAAAAGAAAAAACTCGAAAGAGTATACACACAATAAGGGCAAGAAAAATAATTGTTTCCATTGTGGTGAATTTGGACATTTTAAGGTTAATTGTCCTAAACAAAGGAAGAACAATGATATGCCGAAGGAATTGATTCTTTGAATCTATTCAAATATGATATATTTACAACATACTTTGAAAATTGTATTTTTGTGTAAGGTGTAAGATTATATTTTGTACGCATTTTCTATTAATAAAAGTATTTGTTTTATGTATAGTGTTCAATTTAATATATAGTATAATTACTATGATACTAAGAATAATGTATCAAAGAAAACCCAGGGAAGCACAAAGTTCCATTAGTAACCAAGAAATGGTTTAAAACAAAGACATTGTCAATGATCAAGTGGGAGAGAGATATAATCAATGATCATGACAATGATATGGTTAGTAACATGTTACTAGGTTCTAATAGTAATAATTAGAACAGTGGGAGAAAAAGAAAATTGAAGTTGCCAACAAGATTCGAACGGCAATTAAAATCTTCAATTTTGATTAGATTAATCAATCAGTGGGAAACCCAAACAAACTTTGTTTCATTTTATTTTATAATCAAAGAATATGATTATGTTTTTAATCAAGCACGTCGATAAGAAGTCAACATGTTTACCAAGAACTCAAGGTATGGAATTCATTGAATTAAGTAATATGTGTTTTTCTATTGTAGTGCATTTTTGCAGGAAATTTTGACTAAAAATTTAATGGTCGCTTAAAGTTGTGTTATAATATGGGCTGGTAAGTACTACAATGTAGGGTCAATGTTTATTGATATATATGGATTGTAATCCTAGGAATTATGTCAATGTGATTTATGATAATAAGTCCACAATCTTCTAGGAATTGTTAGTTCCTAAGGAGAACAAATTGATGCAAACTATCACTATATGGAATTATAGTGGAGAGGGATGATGTAAGAGTTGACCACACACCGTCGGCTAAGATGGCGGCCGATCCTATGACCAAAGGATTGCTCTGAAAGGTTATTCAGAGGAGTATGTGACTACAGATTGGAATATCATCTAGATGTTGTAGTTGGAACATGC